GTTTTGATTAATAAATTGTTTCTCAATCCAGAGAATTAATAGCAAAAATACAATGTGCTGTATCAAAATTAAATGAAATGCTGCGTTAACAAAATTTTTAAAATTTTAGATTTTTAATTTTTTGGTTTGAATTAAGGGCGCTGCTCTTCATTTTTGACCCGGGCGCCATTGGCTCTCTCGTAGGCCCTGATTGCTGCACATTGTTTTTTTTATAGAAGATTTGCGCGTTTGAAGCTTGTTGATCTGATGTTTCTCACCAACATCTCTAGCATAGGAAATGCTTCTATCCTTTGTGAACAAAACAAGCTTAGTTTCAAAAAGAGAGAAGGATACTTCTTTATCAATCTGCCCTTCAGAACTGTAACATATTATTTAAGTTACTTTTGATAACTGAGTCTTTAAGCATTTTATTAACCAGAGCTTTGCTGTTGATAAATGTTATAAAAGATTTGTTTTGTTTACAAAAAAATTGTTTCACTTTGAATAGATATACTTTGAGTATAAATATTCGTTTTAAAAAAATCACCTCTATTCTTTTTATCGAAATACATCTGAGTATCAAAATACATCTTATTATCAAAATAGATCTGAGTATTATCTGACTTAATTTTGCATGCAGATATTTATTTGTTTGCATGCTGATTATATTGATTGTTTTTCATATTGCTTATCAGATTTAAAAAAATTGAACTTAAAGTAAAGTTTTTGCACTTTATAACCAGCCAAATATTAAATCTCTATATATTATTGCCGAGCCTAATACTTTTAATGTTAGTAGTGCCCCTTCGAGCGTGTTTAACACGGAAATCCTGGCCGCCATTGCAATCTTGGTAGTAGTGAGAAAGCGTCGCAGTACATTTTGTTAGAAGCAAACGTTAGCGAAAGTGTATGAAAATATCCAACGTACGTATACTAAAAATTCAGTAATGTTAAAACAAACTGAAACATTTGTCAAGTGTTACTGTTTGACTTTCATTTGAAAATTGTATTGCGTGAAGCTCTCCTTAATTTTGATCTAGAACATTTATTTCATTTAAAAAATGATTATATAGTTTTTAAAACATTCCAATATCAGCGTGGCCGAGTAAATAGCGCGCCAAGATTCTGAACAAATAAGCCGTGACCAGAACCCAGCCACTGTTGACTTTTTTTTAATTTTTTTTCCGATTATTTAAAATAAAAAATACTTTTGAAGTTTTATAGAGATAGATATACAAACATATGTAAATATATTATGCACTTTAACATACGATAAGATTTTTAAAAAAGCTAAAAGTTTTAAAAACATCAAAACGCCGGAAAAGAAAGTTTGTTGCGTAAGTGTCATGATTTCTCAATAATGACACATACTGTCTGAAATTTGATAATTTTTAAAAAGTTTAATAAGACAGTCCTTCTACTCCAGAAGTTGCTGCTGCTGTAGAGACAAAAAAAAAGCCCGTAGCTAGAAAAATCTAAAAAACTTTTTTTTGACAATTGAAAGTCTTTATTGCCTCATTTATTTTAAACTATAAATATATGCTTCAGCCGTTTTTCAAAACGCTTTAGTTTGCTTATTACGTGTGTGGTTAAATCACAAACCATACTGTTTTGATATGTATACAAATATATTCTCGTATAATAATGTACAATAATGTAAAACGTGCTCAAAAAGTTACAACGTTCGCGTAGAAGAGTAAGAGTAAGAGAGAAAGCGCGGGATTAACCGCTGACAATATAACACTAATTACACGAAGTCGTTGCCGCGCTAGTGTGCGCGACATTCCCGCCCCCAATTAATTTATAACGAAATGTTTTGTGTCCTTTTCATCGCAGAAATTGATCTTCATTGATTCAATCGGGGCGTCCAATGCTTCTAATAAATACAGTTTATTTACAGGTCTTTGAATGTACATTGTTTTTCCATTCTTAATGCATCTAACTTTGGAAGCACGGATGAGTCCGTCAGATGATTTACTGAGGCTCTGAACAATACATGTCTTCCAATTACCTCGTCTGGTGTTCGAGTCGTGAATCAGTACAACGTCGCCGACGGCTATTTTATTTGTTCCTTTATTTTTCTTATATTTGTGGAATTCTCTAAGTTCATAAGTTTTGTCGTTAATAGCTTTAAAGTTAGTTGATCTTCCATATATTAAATGATTGGGTGTAAGTGGTAAGTCTTCAGGTGTTTCATACATAAACGTGATTGGTCGATTATTCAATATTGATTCCACTTCAGCAAGAAATGCTAACAGTTCTTTGTATGAAAGCTGATCTTTATATGTTATTTTGCAAAGGCAGCGTTTAGTGGATCCAACTAGTTGTTCAAAGAACCCTCCCCACCACGGAGCAGCAGGGATGTTGAAATGCCACGTGATACCGAGAGATGAAGTAAAGTTTTGAGTAGGATTGGAGGTGAATTGTGATCCGTTGTCTGAGAGGATTTCGGAAGGTGTGCCACGTCTCGCAAAAAATCTCCGTAAACTTCTTATGCATGATTCAGCAGAAGTGTCTGGAACAAGATCTAAAAATAAAGCGCACATGTAAATAAAAATATCCAAACTTTATATAAACTATTTCCCTCATAAATATTTCAATTCAACAATTAAGTTTTTTGATACATAGTTTTTAAAAGAATACTTTACACTTGACTATAATTGGATTAACTATACCAAGTGGGTCATAAATGCTTGCAATAAACTAAAGAACTTTACGTTTCGTTGAAATTGAGTCATCATTGTGTGTCAAGTTTCTAAAATCAAAGATTAAGTTGTCTTCTTTTTTGTTCCATACTAAGTCTAATACTTTAGTAAGATTAAAGGAGGTAAAGTTTTGTTCATTAACTAGGTTTTCAAGTTGTTTGCAGTTCAATTCGAATTTTCTAAGAGTAAAGCCAGCTTCTTTTAATTGATCTTGACATTTTTGATAAAAATTAATGGCTGAGTCAATTGAGTCAGCTCCTGAGTTCAGATCATTGAAATGTAAAGAACTCATTAATTTACTAACAATCATAGGATCATCAGAGAGGTACTTTTCAGCGTGAGTAATCATTGTAGCAGAAAGAAGAAAGGAAGAAGATGTAACGCCAAACAGAACTTTGCAAATTTTATATGGAATAATTTTTTGAGTAAATATATTGTCTTTATTAAGTAAGTTAATGTTCTTGAACCACAAAAATCGGACGTAATCACGATCTTCAGGAGATATTGTAATCTGCAAGAAGGCTTTTTCAATGTCTGTCACAAAGACAATTTTTTGGGCGCGAAAACGCAAGAGAATTTCATATAAGGATGAGGTTAAAGATGGTCTAGGGTAGAGACACTCATTCAATGAAGGACAATCAACAGAACTGCTTGCATCGAAAACAATTCTGACTTTAGAAGTAACTTTGTCATTTCTCAGAACTAGTTGGTGCGGTAGGTAGTGTACTATTTCAAATTTATTTTTATCAACAACTCGTTCAATAATGCTGTTCTGTAATTGTTCTTTAAAAATGTCATTGTATAATTTAAGTAAAGAATCATCTTTACTCAATTTCTTTTGAAGACATTTAAAACGCTTGATACATAAATCGAAGTTATCACTAAGTGGAGCATGATCTTTTTTAAAGGGCAAGTTAACATTATAGCGTTTGAGGGTATTATAACATTTAATGGTGTGACGAAACCTATCAATGACTTTATAGTTACACTCATTCATCTCTTTAACACCCCATACAGATGTCATGGATTCTTTAATTAATGATTTGGGAGATGAACTTGATTCAACAAACATGACATGAGCTGTATTTACACAACAGTTATAATTTTTATTCTTAAACATATTATTAAAATTTATAGGACCACTTAATAAATAACCTAGCTTAGATTTAATGGCAATTGGATCAAAATTATTTCCCCTAATAATAGAGTTTTCAATAAATAGCCAGTAATAATCTGCCCCAATCAAGACATCAATCTCTAAGTTCCCGTTTTGCAAGTTACTATCTGCTAGCCTTAAATTGTGTAAGTGTCTATACTTCTCTTTAGCAAGATTTATATATTGTCCATCGAGAGGCGCACAAATATCTTTTACATAACAGTTAATTTTTATAACTTTTTCAAATAAGCATTTAATTTTTAATTCAACCTTTTCTAGATTTTCTCTACTGCTATTATTTTCAAATGTTTTAATGTTAGTTATCTTTTTTCCTACACATTCAAGTTTTATTTTGCGACACAAATCAGGTTATATGTAACTAAGCTGCGAACAGTTGTCAAAAAGTATTCTGCAATTATGTAATCTGTCATTTATGTCAAATACATCACTGGAAGCAGTTTGGAGTAAAATGGACTGATTATTGTTACTTGAAATGGCTGTTATTTCACCTTTTTGTAATTCACTATTTTGTTTTTCTAGAAAAAGTGCTATATGATGCTGATTACCACATTTAAAACATTTGATACGACATGTACAATTCTTTGATGTATGACCACTTCCTAAACATTTAAAACACAGATGTTTTTCACTAATTATTTGTTTTCTATTTTGAATGTCTGTTATAAATTTGCAGTCTTGTGATTTATGTGATCTGTCACAAAAAAGGCATTTGATAAATTGTGGTATATTAGTTGGATTATTTCTATCAAAGTATGAATTTTCTTTAGCTTTCTTACTGTAATTAAATTGACGAGAGTTTCTGTTAAAATTGTTACTTGTAAAAATGTTTCAGTTGTATAAGTTTTATCAACACTGTTATTTAAATTTAATGAGACTTGTTCTCTTGCACGTAGTTCTGATTTTAAAATGTTAATGATGGTTAAGACATCCCATGAACTGTTTTTATCAAGTTGTCTGTTTATAATTAAGTTCAGTTCTTCAGGTATTTTCTGTAGTATAATCGGAACAAGTAATGGTCCATACATTTCACTTGTAATTTTAAGAGTTTCGAGGCTCCTTATTTGTATTTCTATATTATCTAATAAATGTCTTAATTTTTCAATTCTATTTAAACTATGCACTTTTTCAAATGACAGTAGTTATCTCATGTGGAATGATATCATATTATGCTTATTTTCATAACGCTCCTTAAGGATGTCTAAAGCTATTTTGTAGTTTTCATCGGATAAACTGATACCTGAAATAGATGACAAAGCTGAGCCTTTTAGCAAGTTTCGAAGATAAGTAATTTTTTGAATTCCTGACAGATCATTTTTCATATCTATAGCACATTCAAAATTTTCTTTAAATGATGTCCGCTTTTCAGGTTCTCCGCCAAAATTATCTAATTTTAAAACAGGTAATTTTACTGTCTTGTTTTTAAAGTTACTAAATGAACTATTGCATTCAGTTTTAATGTCGAATTTCTTCAACTCTTTATTAATTTTAGAAATTTCACTTTTGAATACTAGATTAAATTCTGTAGAAGATTCTACTTCATTTTCTAACTCGTCCTCATCCTCAACCAGTAAGGTTATCTCTTCCAATTGGGTGCCTTTATTGTATTTTTCGTTTAAAGTGTCTTTTAAGTCACTAAGGTTACTAAACTGGTTTTCATCGTCAATGTTGTTAATAATATCTAAGAATTTCTCAAATAATTTGTTTAAAAGTTTTATGTTAACTGTTCTAACTCTACGTTTGCCTTGAATAGTTGACATTTTTTGAAAAATAAAACTTATAGATGTTTATTTGCAAAACGGTATCTGTCCTAAATCCTTCCTGATTGGGTAAATAACTACTAAAGTGACAAATAATGAGTATTTTTACTTAAATTTTAATGATTGTTAATATAATAACTTGATAAATGTTCGATACAATGATAAGCTCAAAATGTTCACTTAATACTCCTTAATACTTAATACAATACTCCTAAGTATTATAGTTTATAATAACAAGTAAATAGTAAATAATTGTAAATAAAACTTGACTTTTTTTCTTGTTCTTTAATCTTTTAATCTGTTTAAATCTTTTGCATCTTTGTATTCAAATGTCAATGTTCATTTTCCGAATATCAAAATTTCAAGTTGAAACGGCAAAATAATAGAAACGGGCTGTTTTTCAAAACAATCTGTTTCTTATGACTATGATTTTAATTAATAAAACGTTTAAATTTAATTATTAAAAAGTCTTGTTTTTTAGATTTTCTTTTGCTTTTATAGTGTTATAATAAAACTTTTTACATTATTTTGACAGTTTTAATTATAAATAAACGTCAAGTATTTATGTGTGTAATAAATAAAAAAATACCCGACCACAAAATAATAAAATCTTATTAGATTATTGTAAATGAATTATTACAATACAACAGCTTAAATAAATACTTCATGGTTGGATGCGTTTGAAAACTCTAATTTTAATTTAAGATAGTATTTTTATGTTGAGGCTAAAGTATTGACGTTTATAAAAAACACAAAAAGTGACAAACACAAAAGTAAAAAACACATTAAAAAAAAAATACAGTTTAATATTATTTCATTATTACAACATTGCAGAGAACACTATTAAATCAGTAACTTGATTTCAATTAAGAAAAAAAAGGTAACAGTTTTTCTTTAATAGACTTTTTATTTGAAGGTTTTTCATAACAAATGACAGAATATTAAAACTGGCAATAATATTGTTACACCATTGAGTCCATATTGTGGTGCTTGTGGCATACCGTAATTGAAATTTTCTCATTAAAATACACTACAATATAAGCCTTAATTAATCAAGAAATAGACAGAGGGCCAAAAATTACTTTTTTAACAAAAGTTTTCTTAACAGATCATTTCTTTTGAAATAAAAGATTTTATTTTCTACAAGATTTTTTTATACATACATTTAAAAGTAGCTCCTGGGACATAATATTTTAATTTGGTGCTACCGTTTCTCTTCAATATATATTATCAAGACTAGTAAACTACAAAAACAGAAACCAGCTGTATTGGATTTTAATTTTTCACTGATTTTATTCTAAAAATCAGGGAAAAAACTAAAATCAGATATAGAATAGACACAAAGGCTTGATTTTATTTGTCATAATATTTAACTTTCATATCAATATAAGTCTTTTTTCTCAATAAAATTTTTAGTAAACCGTTATAAAACATGATATTACTAAATATAGGTATATATATAGGTAATACAAAGAAATTAAAAACCAAGTTTCCTAGCCCTTTTACGGTTGCGTTTTCTATCGACCGTATTTTAAATCGTAAAAGTCTTTTGTGTGACATTGTAGAACGCAGATAGTTTGCAATTAATTTTGAATTAGTTTTTATTAGTTTTGGAAATGATTGTTCACAATAGGCAACGGTAATAGGTATTGTTAAAATTATTTGATATACGCGATACATACATTTGGAAACTCTTTCGAATTCCTTTTTAAAATGAATTCCAAATTCTCAATAATAGTATAACTATCTTCTAAAAAATATCTTTAAATAGAAAGTTCTTTTTTGAATTCCTCCTAATCAACATCATTTTCTAAGTGTTTGACCAGGCTTGAGCAATTAGTATTGCATTTATTTGTATTCATAGTTTTTAGCTTTTTATTATCGAAAAGAAAACTAAAGACTTGATTTAAAAAAGTAAACGAATCAAATTGTTTTTGCAATGATTCTTTTACTTTATCGATTAGTTCATTAAATTAAGGTTCTTTAAACTTATCTTCAGCCGTTTGAGTTAGATGGTTATACTCATCATCGATTTCAGAAACGAGATCATGTATATCAATATCATTCAACTGCATTCAATTGGACCAATTAACGTCTATTGGTTCAATTTATTTATTCGGTATATCAATATCGTATATTCGGTATATCAATATTGTATATTTCTCATTTGCTTTATTTTAAGGTCTCTATAATAACAATAGTCTGCTAATCTCTTGAGATTACATGCTCTTCTTTTGGACTAAACTAGGTTCTGGAGTATTTCAAGTCAATTTTTGTTTCTACCTAATATTTTAGTATCACAAGAAGACCGTTCAGGGAATGATGCTATGATATCTATATCTACCGATGCCTCTTGTGTTTCTTTTAAAAATCTGTTTAAAATTGTTCATGAAATCATCCATGAAATCATTCATGAAATCAGTCATGAAATCAGCCCATGAAAGGCTATGCTATTATCTCATCACAATGAGATAATAGCATAGCTTTTGTATGATGTAATGCAGTATTAATTGCTATATTTTCTCGCTGAAGTATTTGGCTAAAAATAAGAAGCTACATGGCCTGCTTAAATTACACGGCCTGATTTGTTGCATTTTCCGTAAAAAATTAAGAGGCCAGTTTTTTTACGGCTCAAGTATAAAAACTTCATTTTTGTTATGGTTAAGAGTCTTGTTTGCACTATAGTTGTTTTATCTTTATTTTATTCAAATGGTTTAATAAAAGATAGATTTTCTTTGAGCACTTACATTATTTTGTGCTAAATTTTTTGTTAACTGATTGCCTGCTTCAGTTTATTCCAATAACAAAGAATACTGAAATAGGCTTTCACATAGCTATATCAACACATACCAACATGCTACTAAAAATAATCTTGCATATTGCTAAAACTACTCACAATTCTCCATTGGAAATAATTTTAAAGGTTTGTAATTTTGTATTTAATATAATTGCAATTATTAAGTAGAAAACATAAACTTTTCTTTAAAATATTTACACTGCAAAACAAGATTTTCCAATGTAAATACTTTATTATGCTGCATGTCTCAAACATACAGTAATTAAAATGCAACAAATCAGGCCATTTATTTACAGAAGGCAAGAAATATCAGGCATACCAACTGTTTTGGAGTCAATAGCTGTTAATAAATTTCTAATTTTTTTCATTGCCAAATAAATGCTTATCCTATTTCTTTATTTAAATGGTTTTGCAGCGGTAAAACTATAAAATATTAGAAAAATCATTGACAAAAATTTGGTATCAAGAGATTATTTGCTTCTTGTGGGTAAGATGTACTTCCAAAAAGCAGCCCATTATCAAAGTGGTAAACGATTTGATGAAGATTGAGAAAATAACCTTTTTAAAATAGTTTTTAAAGAAGTTTTTTGTTTTTATGATTGTAGGGCTTCAAAAATTTATTCTTATGTTTTGAAATCCTTATCTAAAATTTACATAACTGGTTTATGTTTGAAAAAAGAAATTGATGAGTATATTACCTCAATGCATCAATCTGAATTTAAGATTAGAGCTGTTGTTACCGATAACCACTCTACAAATGTTAATGCATTTTTGTAGTTTAATAAAGCATATACTGGAGATGGAAAAGTATTAATTTATCATTTAGTTTAGAAACGGAGTGTTTAAAATATACTTGTTATTCTCGGTTTTTGTTTTTTTCTTCTTGTTGAAGTTACTGCTGATTACATTACAGGGAATATATTTCTTAAAGTTTATTAAAAGATCAATTATTAAATAGGCAAGAAAAAGCAATAAAAATTAATTATCAAGTCACATATTTTCGAAACAACAAACAAGTTGTCAACATTGACAATATTTGATGAAACAACTGCAGCTGTAATTTAGAGTTATTTTTCTGAAAGAAATAACGCAGTACAATTTTTATCATTGTTTTATAAGTTATTTATCATTCTTCGAAGCAGAAACTAAATTCATCCAATCAAACTCAGCAGTGTTGCTTTGAAAGGTAATAACAAACCCTTTATAGAGAAATTGCAAATTGTACTGAATTTGATAAAAATAAAATTTGATAAATACTTTACACTAACCAAACAAACTTCTTGTGCTCTAATTACAACTCTACAAGTATTTCTTTTGTACTTCAATTGTATTTCTTATGCATGATTTCCTTGAAGAAGGCTTTACATTTGTTTATAGTTCCAATTTACAAAGTGATCCTTTAAAGCTAGGTTTTAGTAAGTACAGTTAAATGACCAGTAGTAGACTTTTTTTGAGTCTTTTAGAAATGTGCATTAGTAAAAAGATTTTGGCAGATTTTCCCAGAAAATATTTATCAGAATTTTGATAATCCTTAAAAAATATTATGCAAAATATTTCTTAGTTGTCTACATAAATACTACTATCAGCTTTCTGAAGATAGCATAGATATATATACAAAAGCAAGTAATAATGGTAAAAATTAACAAAAAAATTTTAATGTAAAACTTATGATCAATAAATGTTACTTTATAAAGAGAAGAACCTATATATTCAATTCAACCTCTGTCTAATTTTCTTTGTCATCTTTTTAGTATTTTATGTTATTTCTCTAATAAAACATTGCAGTCATTCTTTTTCAATTAAAAATTTGTGAAACAAATTTTAAAGATTTGATCTAGCAGTTTTAATTTCACAAATAAAAACCACCAAAAATTGGGAATCAAATATAGATTTCGTATTGTTAGCAATATTCTTTATAATAAAAAATTACATATTCATTGAGAAAAGATCAAGTAAAAGAATTCCAAAAAAGACAAAGACAAAATAAACATTTCTAACAAAAATTTCTTCTTTTAATTTCAATTATAAAAAATACAAAATTACAAACCTTTTTTTTGTTCAATAGAGAGTTTTAGGCAATCTTAGCAACATGAAAGATTATTTTTAGTAGCATGTTGGTATGCGTTGATATAGTTATCTGAAAACCAATTTCAGTATTCTGTGTTGTTGGAATAAACTGAAGCAGGCAATCAGTTAACAGAAAATCCAGCACAAAATAATGTAAGAACTCAAAGAAAATCTAACTATTTTTAAACCATTTTAATAAAATAAAAATAAAACAATTATAGTGCAAACAAGACTCTTAACCATAACAAAAATGAAGTTTTTATACTTGAGCCGTAAAAAAACTGGCCTCTTAATTTTTTACGGAAAATGCAACAAATCAGGCCGTGTAATTCAAGTAGGCCATGGAAGCTATGATAATAAGTGACATCAAAATTGTTGCGAGCACAACAAATTCATAAGATTTTATTTGTTTTATTAAAATTGCAGCATAAGTTTTTCAATCTGGATGGCTGTTTTTAAGTTTACCTAGCGTAAAACTAACTTCTTTTATCTAGTATTTCACGGCTTTTATACTTTTAAAGCAATACTCTTATTGAGGATTGCTGGGCGTTTTTAGATTAATTTTTCAATATTTTACATGAATTGCTAATCGCTTTGTGGATGCAGCAAAAATCAAATACAAATTATTTAATGTAGTTAAATAATTCTGATATTTAATAGTGTTTTTGACATTATCATTTATAACTAAATTGATGTTATGCCTCCAACACGGCGTACACCATGCTTTGTTGTTGACTTCTATTATTCGACTTTTCGCTCCCTAATATTCTCCTTTCATGTTGCTTGTGCCGTCATACGACTGACCTCAGCAATCAGCAATCTTGATTCCTAATAATTCTAATTCCTCAATACTAACGTTTGCTAAATATTCTCCGGTTGGTAACTTTACATATACAAAGTTTAAGAAACTGTCTTGAAAACATGGTTTTTGGTCCGCTATTATAACATACAACATTCAGAAAAATGATCGAAAACTGTTTTTTTTTTTTGCGAGTATTTGGTGTTGAATCTATAAT